CCATCATCTCCGATATCGGAGTGCTAACGCTCTTACACTCAAGCGGTAGCTTGTTACATAGAATACAAATACAGTGCATTCGTTTTCACTCAGTAGTAGCAACAGGCTCCCAAATTAGAATCTTCTTCTCTTCTGATCGCTGCTGCGACTACTAGCTACTACTATCAAGCCCACGACAGTTATGGTCCTACTCTCCAGTGGCAGGACTCTGCACTCGAGTTGACTTCTATTCGTAGTCGTATCCAGCTTTTGGTTCAAAATAATTTTAGACCCGTCACCATTATTATTAGACCCGTGTTGCTGTAGTATTTGCTCCCCGCTTTGGTGGAAGCAGGGTAGCGATGATTATGACGGATGATGGTGATGTGGTTTGCTTGTGTTACATATTTCTACTATTTGTGTGTAGATCATTTTCTTTTTTGGCGGAAAGATAGAATAATATGAGCAGCTATCTCTCTCTGTACACCTAGGATTCTCCTGCTACTCATAATACAACTATTACACCTATACTATCCTCATATATAACGCTCGGTCCTCTTAGCACCGGCGACTGTCTATTTAACCTGTTTATTTTCTAACTCCCCTGCCTTCTATGTGGACACTGTCTCCCATGATGCATAGTGACTTCGTTATCCTATTCGATGATTCTATTGGGCTCCGTTATACTCTCCAGTATGCTGGGTTGATGAAGTGATCCCGGTCATCAATTTGAGGGGCTATTGACCAACCCCAGCGGCCTGTCTGAGGATAGCTCGATCATTGTCGACAGTTGTTTGCGCTGTCCGGAGGTAGAGGTAACTACCTGTATTTTCCCCTTGTCTCTAGCATTGAACTGTCGTCTCACTCACTATCGTTGCTCATTAAGATGATGATGGCTGTTGCCCTCGTCGGTGTCTTTCAGCAGCCGAACTATGAACCTATTCAATCGACTGAGTGTCTATTCGTTCCCTCAACCTACAGTTCAATCGCCGTGTACTCTAGTCGTTCCCGTCTACCATTTGGTATTAGTAGTCCTACTGCATGTTTTGGATCATCCGACAGCCCGATTTCGGACTCATTATTTTTCTCGGAGTTGGAAACATTAGTAGTGTTTATTGTGATGCCAGTAGCGTATCGATACAGTAGTCATAGCGATGGTGGACTCGGCTCCTGTCGTCTATGCGAGACGAGCTTTCTAGGATAGATAGCAGCTGTTGCGTTGTTAATTCACAGGAGGTAACAGCATTGAAATCGATTCGAGTAGGGCCTGTGATAAAAGCTCCACAACTGCCGCGTGGGTGCCCATTCTCGCTCTGTGATGATGACGGGAATTTCCATGCACCAACAACAACAGCCTGCAAGGCATCAGTAGAATCAGTATAAGTATTCGGATAGTGCAACTGTAGAAGACGAGATATCACCCTATGACAAGGCATAGCTGACAAGATTTGTAGAGGAATCTTCTAGCTGTGGGCCTCCGAGTATCATTCATACTGTCTTCCTTTCATCAGCGCCTGAGAACATGTTCGGGGATTGAACGCTAAAGATATCAATTATGCCCGTTTATGGAACTAAGGGTTCCATGAGAGCTGAGAACTTGCGACTCATGTTGAGGAATGGCCAGTCGTCAGTCCGTAGAAACGTGTGACACACGATATACCATTTTTCCGAGCTGAAGTATCGTGTCAAGTGCGCCAAACGCGTGTAATAAGACTAGCATGCTGCTGATGATAGCAGAAATTGTTGAAAGAGATGTAACGGGTTAAATATATTAACTTCCTAAAATTTGGAAAAGTGTCACGGGAGTAGTGGTCGTACCAATGAAAGGCGTCGGGCTTGACGGAGCTGGCAGGGGAGGGAAGGTAGCGTCCTTGAGTACGCTCAATGGTCGTGGTGACGAGTCTATTATAATTTGAAGCGCCTCTTATCCATGAAGTTACGAGTCTATGGTGATAACTTTTTGTTCACCCTGTGTGGACTAGACTCAGCCAGGTGCGGTAGCAATACGATATTGCCTGAACCCTAGCACTTTTTCCGACACGTTTTTCCCCACTCATACACAAGTCGAATGGACAGGAAAAATTCCCAATTATAGATCATGGGCCTTGCAAAATAATTATCAGCTCTCTCATGCAAATTCAGCAACTCTGAGTATGCCTCGAGTCCATTATAGTTTAGTCACTCTCCGAGTCGGAAAGGAGAATAACATATTTGTTAGTGTCACTGGGGACCATTTCTCCACCAGGAGAGAAGAATTTCGGACGGTTGACTCTCCGGCCACTTCTGGTAAATCCGCCCTCTTGCGCTCGGTGGAGAGCCTGGACGTGGCTTCCTGAGAACAGAGCAAAGCTCCAAGCTTCACAGAAATCATCGAGGCATACGAACATGATGCCGAAGCATATACACGCGTCTTACCATGAGAACTCGACCTATGGCGGCTAGATGACGAAAGACGTCTCCTTGGTTTAGGGGAGGAGATTTTAATGTCGTCTTCGAGCTCCTCCTTAACGACGACTTCGCCTGCCCGATACGCTTTCCGCTGCGCGGCCGACATGTGCTGCATCGGTGGCGACACGGGAACTGGGAACGAAAACAGGACAGTCTATCATACTTCTTCGACGACCACTCAGCTCACTTTCAGTTAGGACTGCACTCGGAGAATGATGTTTAACTTGGGTCTTCTTTGATGCACTATGACTCACCTGCGACTCTCGTCTGGCCTTCTTCGTTGAAGGACGATCTCCACGAGCCTATCGGTGAGCCAAATCATAAAGCCGCATCTATGCGTGTACACCATTACTCCATGAGGCCGCTTAGTAGGCCGAACGGCCTGGACGTGGCCTTCAACAGCCTCTCGTTGCGACGATACCAGAGACCGGAGTGATGCAGAAATGAAGGATGTCAATTTGCTGAACATGGGATGGGCACAAAAATATAAAACCGGAACTAAAACAGTCAAAGGCACCACATGCAAACACCCATTCACTGATGCTCGATGGGGGTTGTCCATGAAAACAGTGAATCCTGGAAATGGTGAACCGGAATAAATTTCCCGCGAACCCTGATAACAGTGAAGGAACTAGCGCGCGCCACGAGCGCGCGGCAACAAAATTCAAGCCGGGATCCCCTTACGTCATATGTGTTGCAATCGATCGGTTGGTCTAGTGGTTAGGCGTCAAAGTTAGTAACCGACTGCCCAAGGTTCAAATCCTGCGATTGTCATGGTAATTTTGTAATTGAGACGCGGTTCAACCGCGGCAGTTGAGGAACTCAACTTGAGGTATTGACCAGCTAGGGTCAGTAAGCTTGCCTAACTCAGCTGGTACGCCTCCTTAGCAGTTACTCCGAGTCCACGAGTTTGTAATACAATGCTATCCAGGAGCTCAGTATAGAAGTTGTATTTGTTCACGTTCAAGAGGAACAGGCATTAGGACCTGTTGCCTCATGCATGGCTGTTTATCCTTGTGGTACTGCCAGAATTGTTCATCAACAAGGTTCTCATACTTCTTCTATAGTCACTACTATGGACTCAAACGCTTTGCTTATGGCAATCCCGTATTTCAGCTAGTTGGTAACGGATTGAAAACTCACTCCCTCGTAATGGAACAGTGGAACAGAAGGAAGAATATTTGATCAAAAGTGGACTGGAGACGACACGGTTCCTAATCCCGAAGAAAGAGCACCGTTCAGTACTTCGGAAGTACTACTTCCTGTCCACAACCATGGTATAGGGTGACTCGAAAGCTATTACTAGACCGTTCGTGTTGCTCCTACTTTTGAAAAGTCGCTTCAAGACACGCAACGAAGAACCAGGCGTGAAAAAGATGATAATCTTTGTAATATGTGACCCAGGCCTCAATGATCCATTGCGCAGCGGTTGCTGTGAGCAAGCTAAC